TTACCGTAAGCATCATCTTGATATATTACATCGTTATAACTGTAGCTACATGTTGTTAGCAACACTACTTACTAATGTGAATCTTCGTAAAAAAAATAGTTTATTCATGCTGTGACAACTTAAGTCAGTGCTTGCTAGCGTGAGAGACGTCGTACAACTAAAGCGAGTATAGATAAATAGGGGTAAAAGAAATGCATTACCGCATAAAATCATGTGAGCACGCCTGATAGTTTACGTCACTAATAGGAAACTAGTGTGATGTCCCGGTAATTTAATTATCAAATTAAAAAATAAAATAACATTCCACTTCCATATGAAAAAAAATAATCAAGTTTTTGTAAACGAAAATAAAACTATTAAAACAATGTTTAATAAAGTAATTCCGAGCCAGAGTTAACTTGTGCATGCATAAATAGCGCTAATGTACCTTCCATTCGTAATAATATTATAACTGCATAAACCATCGGACTTATCAAAAGACTCTACCCACACCAAAGTTGGCTTTCTAAACACGTGTAATGTAGAATGAATAAAAGATAAAATAAAACATGTGAAAGACTGATAGAAACGAGATACCCTGACTACCATTTTAAGTATTACTAGAATAGCTGCAAATGTTTTGCGAATATAAATTTATGTTTATGAGAACTTATTCGTTGCCTTATCATTTATTACAGTTTTGCAAGTGTGTGCGTTTTAAGATAATGTATTATGAAAACAATACCTGATATGTACACTAAGTTAAATTCTAAATACGACTTAAAAAACATTTTTGTATTGAATTCTAAAATTTTGTTAAGTGGTAATGTCTTACAAAAGAATAATGATTTATGAATAACAATACATTTATTATCTTAAAAGTTTGGTATAGACATGTGGAAAGATAAGCATAAAACAAGAAATCGTGATATTTGCAACAGGAGACAACTATTAAATGCTTGATTGCCTAGTATTAGATGATAGGTAATAACGAAGTGATTTTTTTAAGACAGATAGCTACCACGTGATCTTAATGATAGATTTGATATATCATATCAATTTATGAGTTTCATATGTTATGTAAAATTATTAAAATCTTCTTACTGCACGACGAAATCTTGCTTAGAATATCTATTAAGTGTTGGTGTTGTTTTATTAACGTGTATAACAAGGTCTTATTACACGGTTAGTACACGGTATAAAAAAGAATGCGTACACTCAAATGACGTCATGTATGACATCAATAAACGAACTAATGTCAGAAAAATAACAACCAATCTTATCGTCTCTAATTGTAGTTTGATATACTTAATCATTTCTCTTTCTAATAAGTAAAGAAACGATATTCATTATGTGTGTATTTAAGTAAAACAATGCATGTTTTATCTTCAAATGCTTTGCTCTATTTTTATAAGGTCTATCGGGCTTTGAGATTATATTCATATGCTTTTGAACTGGATGTTTATTTCTTAAAACTTGCAAGTGACACATAGAAAAACTTGAACTGTGCCCAAAGGATACGGATGCCCCTACTGACAACATCTATATTGTATATAGTGAAAAAATCAACAAAGGGCCATAATTCTCTTAAATTTGGTCGCAGCAAAAATTCCTTCCTTTAGTTTCATCTACACATTAAGGTTGTTCATCCCTAAAAGTTTAAGCAAAATCTGCCATCCAGTTTAAGATGAGTTGCGTTCACAAAATTTCTATATGGTATATAGTGAAAAAATTAACAAAGAGCCATAATTCTGTTAAATTTGGTCGCAGCAAAAATTCCTATTTTTACTACCATCTACACATTAAGGTTGTTCATCCCTGGAAGTTTAAGCAAAATCTGTCATCCGGTTTAAGAGGAGTTGCGTTCACAAAATTTCTATAGGGTAAATAGAGAAAAAATCAACAAAGGGCCATAATTCTGTTAAATTTGGTCGCAGCTAAAATTCCTTCCTTTACTACCATTTACACATTAAGGTTGTTCATCCCTGGACGTTTAAGCAAAATGTGTCATCCGGTTTAAGAGGAGTTGCGTTCACAAAATTTCTACATAGTATATAGTGAAAAAATCAACAAAGGGCCATAATTCTGTTAAATTTGGTCGCAGCGAAAATTCCTTCCTTTACTGCCATCTACAAATTAAGGTTGTTCATCCCTAGAAGTTTAAGCATAATCTGCCATCCGGTTTAAGAGGAGTTGCGTTCACAAGATTTCGGGACGTACGGACATACGTACGGACGGACGTACTGACGGACGTGGGGACGGACGGACAAGTGCAACGTTATATGCTCCAACTTTGTGGGGGCATAAAAACAATAAACTCTGAGATACGGTCAATGGAGATGGCAAGCGTGTATTGAAAAGTGGTCAAATCTAAAAAGGTGGTTTAAAAAGACCTGGTTGTGTTTTTAAGCCTATACCTTTTGACATACATGTTGTTGGAAACGGGTACTTATATGCTACCTGCTGAACATACTAGAAATTTTATTCTCTTTATTTGCTGATTAAAAATTAAAGATAGATAAATACAGAATCCCTAAAGAAAGCCCAACACGGCAAAATAGAAAATGTTGCAGGCTCGGTTTGATTGAGCCTGTTCATGGACGGTACTGGAAAGTGCAAGTTACCGTTCACGCCCCCTAGCACCGGCTTAAGCAGAATTCAACATTTAACATGAACTGGTAAAATTTAGAATTTTGAAACATCCGCAGATGTGTTCATATGGCGGTTATCATGGAACCTTCAATGTGACACGTTAGTGCCATTCCATGAAATTAAAATCACATTTGGTAAATCAAATTCCCTCCAAATTACATAGAGCAAAACCTCTTTTACAGTAACAAATTTAAACTTTGACCAATGAGTATTTGCATTGTGAGTTGATTGAGGATATATTGTAATGAAAATTGTTCGAGATCTGTCAGAAACAAATAAATGTTATATGTATATGAAGAATGAATTTTAAAAAAATGGAAAACAAATATTATTGTTGTATTCTTTTCGCGTTTTGAATATTTTATACGATATCTCACAATACTCATTTACAGTTAGAAAAGAGTAATGCAATATGTTTTAAAGAATAACATCCACAGAAAATGTTTTTACAAACACTTACAATTGAAAAAACCTCTTTCATTCGTTTTATGCACCATTGTTTGTTTTTACCTGAACAAAGTCGCCCCTCCCCATAAAAAAGAAACGTTTTGTAATATTTTAAATACATTTCAACAATTAAAACGACGCCATGTAATATAATAAATCTTTATAGCTACATTTAATTGGTTAAATCTGCACTTCATCCATATTGATATTTTGCATAAGTTCCATCTATATGACTGTCACTGCATAAGAATAAATATACCTACAAAACCGTTTCAATGATACTTTTGTAAAATTTTAATGGAGGTTTAATCTTCGATTAAATTGTAAGACGGATGCAGCCGTAAACCGGAACGTTAAAGTCAACGTTAATGTGTGGTGAAACGTTAGAATTAACAAACATTTGTTGTGTTGTTACATAATTTATTACTTATAAGTAATATCCGCTTAGCTAAAACTAAAATCTCTGGTTAAGCTTTTACATGATAATTATGCAAATATACATTTCATCAAAATTGATATACATGAATTAGAACTGATATAAGTGAGCCGCGTCACGACAAAACCAACATAATGGGTTTGCGGCCAGCATGGATCCAGACCAGCCTGGCATCCACGCAGTCTGATCAGGATCAATGTTGTTCGCTTACCAAGTATATTACAAGTAGAGAAACTGATAGCGAACAGCATGGATCCTGATCAGACTGCGCGGAGGCGCAGGCTGGTCTGGATCCATGCTGGTCGCAAACTTACATGACGTCACACAGCCTATGCAGGTATAGATACACGGAGAACATTAAATGCATAACCGCATACCATCACGTGAGCACTCACTGATGTTTTATGTTTTTAATAGATGCGTCACGGGGCACCATGCTTAAAAAGCTGGCTAAAATGGTGATTGCTTATCAATTAAAGTATCAAATGACATTGTACTCGCACGGGAAAAGTATATCAGTTTTTATACGGAAAAAGAGGACTGCGTATTTCCCGAACCAGAGTTCTATTTGTATGCAAGAAAAGCAATTATATTCGTGATATAACAACTGAAGAAAGCACCGGACTTTAAATACCAGCTCAACATGCTTGCGCTTTGAAAACATCTATGTGTCCGATATTTACGAAATGAAGATTGGATAATAATTTAATAGTTAAATTAGATAACTAAAATATTGATAAAAAAAAATGAGCGTATTTTTGTTTTCCTTATTTTAAAAATGAAAACATATATTGCAGTGAATGTTTCGTATTTTCACTGGTGTCTTGCCGTGCTATTTTCTTCTGAATCCAGCCAATATACATACTTCAATAATAAGTCTTTTGGATCGAAATTTCAACAAAAAGTATGTAATAAAATAAGCAATTTTATTCTGTATAAAAAAACCAACACCAACAAATGGTGGTTTCTGCTACTGAGCTACACGGTAAAATAAAGAACTTAATTGAATTCGATGGAAATACTTTTGTTATTTGAAAACTGCTTTTGCTTAATTTTGAAGCATGTTGTTGCACGTTTTAAATTATCGATTTAGAAACGGTACATTCAGTACAATACCGTTAACATTGAATAATGCGTGAATTCAATGTAACACTCATTTTACTTTTGGGAAAATCATTATAACATTTTAACTATGTATAAATGTTGTATCTCCTTTACATTTTTTTAAAAGTGATAAAGTGTAAAATATATCTTTAAATTAACCATTGGAATGTAGATTGATGGTATATCCGTATTTGACAAACATATAAACAAACATAAAGTATGGACCAATTATGTCAACTGCTGGAATATCAGAAATAGCATATCATACCTTAATTATTAAGTTTCATATTAAACGTTCAACGGCAATGTTTTATGTAATATTTACAAAATGAATTGTCTGTGTAAATCTTTATGAATCAAATCATTACAAAACAAACATAGAAAAAACTACTTAATACTTACATTTCAACTTTGATTCGATCGCAGACTTTCCACTTGTTTCCAGATTTTTCACCGGATTTACTTCCTTTGAACACCCTTAAAACAAATTTTAAATAACATGTTTGAGAATAAAGTTTGTCAAATATAGGATTCCTATCTCTTAGCAGTGCTTTTATAACATGAAAGTTTTTTTTTTAGTTTTTAGTTTTTGTTTTTTATAATATTTTACATTGATACTGAATTAAAAAACATTGTTGGTAGTAGTTAGATCCCTGTGATGTTATTTGTCAATTAAGCTCATTATTGTGTGTGCCTAGAAAACAAAAACAACAAAATAACTAGGATTGTCTAGGAAATGAAACAAATAACTCTATTCACAGTGAATAAATTTTGACAAAACTTTTGACAAAAATCAATTTATGTTCATACTTTGATAATGATTGTATATTATGTTAAAGTAACAGTTGTATGTATATATATGGATAATGATTGTATATTATGTTAAAGTAAATAATGTATGTATATATGTGTATAATGATTATAGATTATGTTAAAGTAACAGTTGTATGTATATATATGGATAATGATTGTATATTATGTTAAAGTAAATAATGTATGTATATATAGGGATGCTCAACAATAATGTAAGAATTGAATTATGTTATTCGTTCTTGTTCAATTACATACACATTTAATCGTGGACAAATATTATATTCCTTTCAGATGTTGTGTCTGCTTTTATTACATGGTTTTGACGTGGGCCATGTTTATAATACGAATTTACATTCTTGATAAAAAACGGAGCACGGAAACTATTTGCAATTTTGCAAACAACTTAATTATGTAAACCTACTTAAAACTATTATCGAACAATCCAATCATGTCAAACAATTTGAGTGGAGTCCCTTTATTATTACTTATCATCGTAAAGCTTCCATTTATAATATTGCATATACATAGTTTATTTTATATTGCTAGATTTAGCAGCTACAACTATGAAATTTTTTATTCATTTGGAAATTTTTGTTATAAAAAATTAATTGCATGTATGTAATTCATAATATACATGGAACAGGGTAGCATTAATATGGTATATTAAACATAATTTACTGAGATGTTTGTATCAGAAAGAAGTCCTTTTTTAAAACGTTGTTTAACAGAAAACCGCTTCATTATCCTTAAACAAAATATATAATCAAGATCATATTTATATTCAATTATAGACGTAAACATATGAATTCCTCTAATATTTCTATATATCGAGATTACAGTTATTTTTGCAAAAAGTAACTGAAATGTTGAGTTAGAGTTTTCTCGTCACGTCAAAATATATGCACGGCCGTGCAATTCCATATTTACGGAGTCGCAAAATCGGTACGGGTGTGTGATAAATCTATCTACTTCATAAAACATGTTGTAGTTGTTTGTTATTCATACAATTGGATTTATCAATTATTATTTCTGATATGGTGTTAATGCTAATTTTCGTTGAAATTAAGAAAAAAAAGGGACATCTGACTACGTTTCATGTTAAATATCGGAAGATTTAGGTCTTGCAGTTTTCAAGAAGAAGATTATTGGAGTATTTCCTATATAATGAAAAAATCAAGTTTGCCCAAGTGTTATAATTCGAACAAACTTTAACGATTAAATGATGCAGAAAATGCAATATCAATCGTATGGAAATACAATATCTTAGTTTTATTTTATACATTTTTGAATGCAATACTGACCACAATAAGACTAGTATACAGCTGTAGAAAAAATGTATATTGGGTCAAATAAAGATTTTGCACGTGTGAGTCCGAAACAAAGTATACAACTCAACAATAATATAGTCTCTTTTAAACAGTGTAGCCCATATTAGACACATATTGTGAATGAATGGTAAACATTAACAATGATCATAATTGACACAGGTGCATTCAATAAGAAGTATCACGCATTCTTTTCTCATGAACAGATCGTGTACACTGATGAAACTGTTGATATGGGAGGTGTCAATAGTAAGGTAAATGTTACCATGTCACTTGTTGGCAGAACAAACTTTTGAGTCTACAAAAAAGCAATAATACAAATATTTCTTATTAATAAATGCGTTATAATGACTGACATTCATATAACAGTAATGTATGTGTTTGATGTAGTTTCACTACTTCGAACTTTGGTAATAATTCACCGTTAATAAAGAAAAAAACAACATTAAAAAAAAAAATAAACAATAACAAAAAAAAAAAAATATTTGTTATATCAGAAAACGTTCGTAGAAGGATAAGACACTAAAATTAAGGTTTTTTACTCAGCTGTTTAATTATTCAGATTTAACTGATAGTTTCGTGCGTTTTGGCGGGAAATATATTCTTAGTTACAACAAAAATAGATAAAGCGAAGTTCCTTATTGTATATATCCGTTGTTGTTTTCGTGTTGATGTAGTGTGTAAACAAGTACTACCTTTTGTCCTTTGTAAATATTCTATCATGTGACAAAAGCTTTCCTTCAACTGTATCGGAGCTTGGTTTAAACGTCTTCAACAAGTAAATATTCAAATGTTTTATCAATTTAAATAGACAAAGTCTTAACACCGAATAGAACACTATTATAATCTAAAATCTTTCAAACTAGAAAACTTGTGTATATACTTTTTTCAAAGATGTGTATGCGCACGTTATCATTACAATGACCTGTAAATTATTATCATTAATAATTGATTAAAATAGTAAACTTGTGTAAGATTATAATCTTCACACAAATTTGTACGTTATATAGTTTTATAGTTTAGTTTACCAAACTAGAAATACATTTTCATTTCAGTTATGTGTTTGAAGATAATGAATATCCTTGAATGATAGGGTAAACGAGGGATGATCTGGACTGACCCAAACCTTTGAATTTCACATGTGTATTTTAAATTAACATCTAAACCATACATTAAAAAACGGAACGTACAATTAATAAGACATCACATAACTATAATATATTAAGTAAAATGTGCAAACTTGGCATGCGATAATATTACCATAATAATACATATGCGGCGCACGCAGATTTTGGGGCAGTTTTTAAGTGAAATAAATCCTAAGTCAAAATAAAATAAACATGAAAAAAAAACGCAAAATAAAGCCTCATCTGATTCAGTTCGATGATGCTATTATATCAAGAAAGAATGTAATCTGAATTTTGCAATTTCATAAAAAACAGTGTTCAGAGAAAGTGCGGTGCTACCATTGTTTCTAGCGTAGAAATGGCGTGTAAAGATTAGCTGAAATCCGTGTAATATCTAAGTAATGTAATTATGTCGTACAAATATCACAATAAAGGCTTAAGATGGTTGATAAAACCAAAAGGGAATATCAAGTGAAAATGAAACTGAACAAATACCGTTTTTTTTGACAACAATGGACAGTGCAGAAGGGCATTATTCCGTGTAAAAAAAGACAGAATATGACAAAAACGTCGTAAATTTTCGATTTGCTTCACACGAAGACAAATGATCAGGAAAATGACTGAGCGCTAAGGCTTCATAGATCGAAAATCTTTAAACAATTTGAAAAATAAAATGTCACTAAAGGTAATTTTGTTATATCGTATAACTTGACTTGATTAAATGTCTCAAATTTTCAGTTATAAACTATTTAATTAATGAAGCAAACCTATGTATAGAGTGTTCAGTGTTGAAAACATTAATTGCGACTTTTTTTTAATGATATTTGAAAGTTCTTTAAAACTCTTCAGTTAAACAAAATATTTCACACAATCTACAATTTTTTAAATAAATGTCATGAATACACCATAAAATTCGTATTCTTCTGACATGGCTTCGGTTTATTTCTCCATAAATTCATCCATGAATAAACAACATAGGAAATACAGTTCTGACACCTTTATGTGGAGTGATTGTAAACATGTCGCATTGTATGACCAGCAATGGTTTACAGTCATTTTCCAACAAAATATTCATTACAATGAAATTAGTCAAATTAATTAAAATATGAACAGATAACAATCTTGTACCCTTGTCGCTGTTTCGTAAACGGCGTCTTTAAAAACTATACAAGAGACGTGAAATGAGCTAAGAAGTTCGCCGCGTAGGCCACATTGACAATTTTTTGTTGTATGTAGTTTTTCAATGACTTGTTATTTTGCCTAATATTTTGTAAAAAGATGCTGGACGTTTTTAAATACATGATGGCATTATATTGATGAACCATATATCATTTACACCAAACATTTGCATTTTTTATGGCTCCTCTCTCGTATAATATAAAATTACTGATCTAGTCTGACTTTATTTCAGAATAAACCATTTAATTTCATGACTTGAACAAAAAAGATAATTGGCACCTTTACGGTAAAGTAAGTTCAATATTTTTAGCATATTTACTAAAACCGTAACTGTATTTATCTCATAAAGATGTGTGTTTATGTATATATTCAATTAGTCTAGTCAAATTAGCCCGAAAATCAAGCTAACCTAGAACTAATTGCAAAAGTTTTTGTTTTCGTATTTTATGATGGTACCATATCTGCTTGATATTTGGAAAAAAGTTGCACTCTTTTGCTGAAGGGGAAATGTGATAATTCTAACTTTCAAGTTGACACCCTTTAAATTTCAGTTATAAAATCGGCGTAATTTGTTAATTTCCGATGATACTAAAAAAACACTTCTATATATAAGTTAAACATATTTATTACATGCACACTTCATACAAACAAATTTTTGTCCATGTTGATACAAAAATTTATGCATTTAAAATAAAAAAAAAAAAAAAAATTGTTGGGCAAACTATGACAAACTGGTGTCAAATTACCCCACCCACTTTATGTTAAAATTTTTAACCAGTCAAATTCCGATATATAAGCAGCAAATAATCCATTCCATGTATATCTACAGTAAAAACAATACATAATGTAACCAGTTCGTGTTTTTGGTCTTTTCGTTTATTTTAACCTTTTCGCATTTTAATTTGAGTTGTATATTACTTCCCTTTGATTGTAAATTTGAATGATTATTCAAGCATTGGGTTTCACGCTGTTTTTAAATATAATTGCTGTCATGTGACATTGTGACCACTCTCAGGTCAGATATCATTGTGAG